ACATTGTTTTAAAAATTAATAAATAAAAACATAATATGATGATTTGCTGGATTAAAAACCCACATCATTCTGTAACAGAAATTAACACATCAGTTCTTCTACAAGTTAAAGCTCTATCATGCAGAGACAAAGACAGACATCAGCAATAACCTGAAAGTGTCCTGTGGTCTGAAGAGTCCACCTGTCTAATTGTTGTTGGAAATCTTGGACTTCATGTCCTCCAGCCCAAAGCGAAGAAGGACTGTCTGGATTGTTATCAGCACAAAGTTCAGAGGCCAGCCTCTCTGATGGTATGGGGGTGTATTAGTAACTGTCACATCTGAAGGCTCCATAAATGCTGAAAGCTACATCCAGGTTTTGGAGCAACATATKCTGCCATCCAAGCCACGTGTTTTTCAGGGACGTCCTGCTGATTTCAGCTGATTTCAGCAAGACAATGAAGACACATTCTGCTCGTGTTCCAACAGCGTGGCTTCAGAGTAAAGAGTGCAGGAACTAGACTGGCCTACCTGCAGTCCACACCTGTCTCCCAGTGAAAATGTGTGGAGCATCATGAAGCAAAAACTTCAACAACAGAAACCCTGAACTGTTGAGCAACTGAAGTTGTTCATCAAGCAAGAATAGAMAGTACTCCGGCTACAGAACTTCAACAATTAGTGTCCTCAGTTCTTTGCAAATCTTTGTATTCTGTTTTTATCTATGTTTTACTTGGGCCAACCTCGTTGGAATCAGGGTTGTAAGAAATCTAAATTACATGTTCAAATGAGTTATTAATATCTGTTAGAATATGGAGCTGAAAGAGTCTCAATAATCTTGAATGCACACAGGACAAATCATTTCTGATGCTCACACAAATGTGTCTTGATTTGTGAAGCGCTGCTGCTCTGTGAGCTTCACGGCATTTGTGAGTGATTTATGAGACTCCCCTGACTTTGTTCAGTTCACACATACCGTACCTTCTTTTTTAACAGGGAAGGATCTGCAACCAATCAGATGTCTTCCTTGTTTCAGCCAATCATAACACAAACCATGAGGGGAATGAATTACTTATAAACCAATCACAWTAACCCATTCAAACTGATATATCCACAGCTGGTAGATCTGGTTAACGTTATGGAACCGCGTTCATGTAACCATTAAAAAACATTTAGACCTATACAACTCAATAAACCATTACAACTCAGTAGCAAAAACAAGGCATGTGAATCTTGTGCATGTGTGAATTGTCATTTGTGCATTTGTGATTATTGAAATTTTTCTAGCTCCATATAAGAATACCAACACAGATAATGTTTTCACACAGTTTAGATGACTGGAAAAGATAATCTGCAGCATATTATTATACTGTTAATAATGAAAACGGTGAATAAACATGCACTGGCCCAGATGCATATTCATGAGAGGAAGTCTCTTTAGATCCATCTTTAAGCTTTACMACACTGAAGAAGGAGGTCTAAAGATAACAACAGCAAAATATAATTAGTGCAGACAAAACTGAGCAACTCTGTGCTGAAGATATTTAAATTACAATGTTAACCTATATAACATATTTTACCTGAGTCCCTTGAAACCCAACAGGGACCCGCGAAGGTCTCAGAAATCCCACAGTGGGATGAAGTGGCCCAGATTTCTCTTCTTGTGATTTATTTTAGCAGGTGGCAGAGCTCCACTGGATAACATGAAAACCTTGATGTGTCCTCACATTTAAAAATACGAGGACACAAGACAGTTGAATCAAAACAGAACTTTCAAAAACTGAATCAGAGATGTACTGCAAGATCTGAAATGTTGTTGTCTTTCAGGCTTTCTCAGATTTTTTTTTTTTTTTTTTTGGGGGGGTTGCATTGGTTATTTGTGCAACTGTTAGATTAAAAGTGTTATATTTTCTCCCAAAAAGTGTTTGAGTGGAGAACAAAAGAAGTCTCAGGTAGATGTAAGTGGAAAAACTGGATATAATTATTGGTTTTGGCAATAGGCTGCCAGTAAAAAATACTCAGACAATTTTAAATGTTTTCTTTTCAGCGCTGACTTTTATCTGGAGACAAACCATTTGAGGTTGTGCCTTTTTATGTTAAATGTTTTATATGTAATTGTTCAATAGCTGAATCAATATACAAAACCGCATTCCTGCAAATGAGTGGTCAAAAACAGAATTTCCTTAAACACACAAAAAAAACAAGAAAAAATAAAACAAAACCTTTAAAATAAGGCAAACTGTCACATTTAAAGAAAATATTATAAATGAGGGGTTGTACAGCTCTGTAGCTGGGTAAAATAAAAATAAACTATCTATTTGTTACAAGTTGTGAATTTAACCATTATCAAACAAATGAAACAGTAAATTAAACTGGAAAATGCCCTTTAACCAAAAAACCAACCAGGTTTCACGTGTGACGTTTGTCCAGGCTCAACCAATCAAAGCCGTGTTTGTTTTACCGGCGCGAGGCAGACGGATGAGGGGTGTGTTTCTGTCTCAAAAGAAAATCTAAAAGAATTTATTATAAAACAGATATGTGAAGCAGTGTTCCAACTTTGATGTATCAGTAAATAGGCAGGTTCTCCGGTTTATAATGATAATTCTTCAAATTAGTTCTTCAGCGAAAGAAAAACGGAGAAACGCTCWTTGTTGTTGGGCGGAGCTTTAGCCGTTAGCTTGTAGCTAACATGCTACGCCAGCTAGTTTAGAAGCAACAATACCCATGTAGGCTCACGTGTCCGCCTTGTCTCCCTGCTGCTCTGCTAGCTRACAATAACAACAACCCGTCTCCTGTCCTTGGCCTGACTGACTTCATGGATCCTAGTGGAAGTGAACTGGACTCCAGCCTGCCTCAGCCGGAGAATCCGTGCCTGATAGTGGAGGACTCTCAGCCCGACAGCGTCGCTCTGGAGGACGACCCGGAGAGCAGCTATCGAGCACTGCTGGCCCGACGCCTGTCCAGTCTGCAGCCCACCGCCCGCAGCCCGGTGCTGGTAAGAAGCAAATTTATTGTGCCGAGTAACCTGTGAAGCGGAGAATATAGTTGATGATAATCCAGGCTACCAAGCATTGGACGATTACAAGTCAAATGATTGGAGAGAAAAGCAGAGGGTAAAGTCCTGCTGATAACAACTGAAGACGTACCTAATAACAGCAAATCAACACATTGATTTAATCTAATGGGTGTGAGTCTTTAGCCTTAAAGCTGATTAATGTGTGACAAGGTCAAAAGCTCATTAAAATGTTGAAATTGTGCATTTTCATTGACAGGGTGAGACAAGTTTAATTGTGGAAAAGTTTTAATAAAAGTCATAATTTACATTTTGTTGTTTTGCCATTGTTGTTTCTCTTCAGGAGCTGATATCGTCACCACGAGGAAGCAGATTCTCTCAGACTGACAGCCAGTCAGAGAGCAACAACCAGACTGAACCAGGTCTGTAAGATTCTTATGAATAATGAATGATTTGTTTGTTTGTTTGTTTGTTTGTTTGTTTGTTTGGTCACATAAAAACCTCACACAAAAACAAAGCTTTAACCCTGCAGGGCGAGAAGCCAAAGGCATGTTGTGCCTCACCTTATCTCATGTTTGCATAAAAGATCTTTTTCAGTCTTCAAGTCCTGAAAAACAAATTGTTGTTGTTTTGGTCAGGTGTTTCATCTCCAGCTGACCCTAACTCGCCTCTACAGGAAGAAAGTCAAGTTATCAACATCTGCCCCCCTCCATACAGGAAAAGGTCTGTGCATTTTAATGATTAAGTTCAGCATTAGCTCAGTTTTCAGTTAATTAGCATTCAAATAATTCAGATAAGCAAAGATGAAAGTTAATAGTTGACAAACGTTACAGATTATTTCATCTGTTYAGAAGAAAACTTGCACATGAGGATGTTGAAGTGCTGTTTGTGTGATGCATTTCATTAGACAAAGGTTAAAATGACTCCACATACCACTTTTCTTTAAAGTGAGTACAAGTACACAGATTTATGTACTTGTCAATCCAGAGTATTACCGTTTACACACAGCTTTTTTACCTTACAGGTGTGCAGCAGAGGATTCTGAAATGGATCCTGGAGCTGATTCTACAACAAACTGCATTCAGTCTGAAGGTACGGAGTTCKTGGAGGAAGAATGTCTGCTTGCATTTTCAAAGCAGTAAGTTGCATTATGTGTGTGCTGCAGAGGGAACTTCTCAGTTTGGGTTTCTGGAGCTTTCTCAGAGTCAGGACCTTCAGGCAAACGAAGACGTGGTTCTTCAGCTGAACAGTGAGAGGCAAAGAAAATCAGGTTTGTTTTTATCCCTTCCTACAAATGACACAGAGCAGCCATCTGTTCATGTAGACACTAAAGAAACACTTTTTGTCATGCCAGCAGAGCAGGACATCAGCTCCAGAACTTCAGAGAGTCAGGATCACAAAGCAGCGAGGTATGGTCTCAGAGGAACACTCAAAACTCTGCATTCATTGGAAATGCAAACGTTTAATCTTAAACAGGTTTTTTAATATTTGTTTGTTTTGTTTCAGGTTTGAGGTGAGCTCTAGCAGCTCCTCTGAATCTCTGGGTCAGCCAGGCCGCAAACTGAGTGTCCAGGTTCTGCTGCACTCTCAGAACCTCCAGTCCTCTACAGACCAGGACCACCAGGACTGTGAGATCCTGTCCTCACAAGAGGACCTGTTTGATGCTGATAAGTCAGGTGTGTTCATGGTGTTTTCAGGAATATATGGTTATGTGTGTTCAACACCTGGAATCCAGTTGATTTATAATATTTACCACCACACCCAACAATCACAATAAGTGTTTGCACACCTGCTGCCTGCACAATCATTTGTACTGTTACTATTCATTGTCATTACTCATCTGAAATCATTTGCACTACTACACATTCATATTATTACTAATCTGAGCAATCACCTGCTCTGTTATTACCCATTTTAAACTTTAAAAATAATTCTGCTGTAATTGCACATCTGTGTTTCTTGTCTGCACTGTGATACTTTACAGTTTGTTGAGATTATTTTTGCACTGAAAACAGACAATTCTGATTCCTAATGTAAGATTCTGATAGTCAACTGTCTCTAAAACTAAACTTATCTTTTTCTATTCTTGCACAATTCTTTATATTATATATTTTTTATTATTAGTAGTTGTATCATTGATAACTTTTTTTTATGATTAAGCATATCTGCTGTTTTTAAAAATGACTGTCCTAACGGTCATGTTGCATTTCATTCATGTCTATGCCACTGACATGTGAATGATGAACGGCTTCAACTATGGAAAGAAGTCCAGTTGTTTTTTTAAATTTTTATTTATTTTTTTAATTTGCCATCTCTTTAATGCCTGAGAATCTGCACCAGCAACACAACAATCTGCTCTTTTTAAAACCTTCTTAATTTCTGTCTCAAATGTTTTCCTGAAGTGGACAGCACAGTATCTGAACCGGAGCAGCGGAGTCGCCCCACCCCGACACCCTCTCACACCCTTCACCTGCTGCATYTGTCGGGTCAGGGAACACTGGTGCAGGAAAGTCTGTCTCAGTGAGTTCCTTCATCTTCTTATGCTTCCTGTTCTGACAGAGTCAAACATAAGATGACTAACGTCTGCTTCTTGCAGGAGCTCTGTGGATTATGTCGCCCCCACACCAGACAACTTCCCTCACACTCCGTTAATTGTCTCAAGCTCACCGACTGAAGCAGAAAATGAACGTGGTAAGTGACTGAGGCAGTGATTACGTTTTAACTCGAAAGAGCTGCTCTGCTGGTCAGAAGAGCTCAAATTAATTTTCTTTGTCTGGTCAGATGAACCGATGGACACTTCTCTTCCCCCAGACGAGCCAGCGGGGGAAAAGGAAGAGCCGATGGAAACAGAGGCCGCTTCGAAGCCACACTCATCTACCTCTGCTCCTGTATCCCAGAATGCATCTGGTCTAGTGTTGGGCCCAACGCTGTCTGTACCATCCCAGCCAGAATTATCACATGTATGTGTTTTTTTTAAATCATGTTTCAGACTGCAGCACACATTACCTAAGAGTAGAAAAAAAAACACATATTTCAAATTTTGTGACTTCTCATCCATCAGTTCAAGATGGGAGGYGGAGTCTAATCATACAGCTTCAGTTAGTGTAGTTACTGTCACCTGTTCAGTGATATAACATCTTGTTAATCTAAGTTTAAAAAACATTTTAACTTATTTAATGAAATACAAAYTGACACAAGAACAGACAGTTTAAGTTTATCATGTCAGTTTTAATTTACTCTAAATGGAAACGTATCTTATATGATGATCATGTTTAATTGAT